CGTCCCTCCCTCTAGCTCTGCTTCATCCGTGGGAGAGCTCTTCTGAACGCCTTCTCCTCCCCCTCCTCTGCCAGCCCTCTCCTCCCCTCCCCCTGTGGTCCCAACAGTTTTACATAGCACACAGCGCCGCCAATCTGTCTCCAGAGAGGTATAGCACAGGCAGTCCATGGACTCGAGCCGAAGTCTGAAAGAAAATGAGCAGGGCCCGAGCCATCGGGCAGCGTGGATGCGTGGGCATCCCACGGGCCCGGGCCCGCCTGCAGCGCCGGCGAGGCCGGCGGGTGCTCCCGCGCACCGCTGGCAACACAGCAGCAGAAGCTGTGCCACACCACGCCGGCCAGAGGCCCGAGCCTGTCAGCTGCCGCAGTGGCCCTGCCCGCCCGCCCCCTCCGCCGCCGACGGGGTGGGCCCGGTCGGCAGGCCCTGCCCGCCCGCCCCCCCCCCCCGCCGACGGGGTGGGCCTGGTCGGCAGCGGGCCCGAGCGGGCGCCCGCTCTCGCTGGCCCCCCCGCGCAGGCCGCGCCCCCCCCCCCCGCGGGCCCTGGCCGGCGGCGGCCACGGCGGCCCCGAGCGCCGCCAGGGGGCCGCCTGGAGGCCCCTGGCTAGGGGGCCGCACGCGAACCCTACCCCTACCCCTCACGATTTCTGAGGGGGAGGGTGGGCTTCACTCCATTCGGGAGCTCCCGAGCGAAGTGAACCCCACCCTCCCCCTCAGACGTCGTGGGGGGTAGGGGTAGGGTTCGCATGTGGCCCCCCTACTGGCGGCCCAGAGGTCGAGGCTGTCTCTCCGCCCACAGGCCCGCTCCCCCCGTCCCCGAGCCAGGCCACGGCACGGCCGTGGGGGAGCAGTTGGTGGGCTTTCCCCCGCTTGCCCCAAGCTAACAGTCGGCCCGCGCGGGGAGGCTGCGGTCGAAGTGCAGCTCGTCGGACCCACCGCCAACTTTGAGCATTGGGGGATGGGGGAGGCGATGACCGATGAGTGTGGCATGCGTGGTCGCTATTTTTTTTCCGAGGCCGGTATCCCTGTCCAGCCAGCCCACCCCGCCCAGGTGGGGATAGGCCCTGCGAGCCTCGAAAGGGAACAGCGCACATCAAATACATCTCCAAGAGGAGAAAATGGTATGAGCATAAGCTTTCGTCGCTTCGCGCGGATTTCTTGGACTTGCGCTGGGGTGCCGCTTTTTGTTGCTCATATTCTTCGTCTTCTTCTTCTCCGTCTTCTGCTATCGCAGGGAACAGCCCCCCCCCCCCCCACACACACACACACGCACGCACGCACGCACGCGCACGCGCACGCGCACGCGCACGCGCACGCGCACGCGCACGCGCACGCGCACGCGCACGCGCACGCGCACGCGCACGCGCACGCGCACGCGCACGCGCACGCGCACGCGCACGCGCACGCGCACGCGCACGCGCACGCACGCACACGCACGCGCACACGCACACGCACACGCACGCGCACGCGCACGCGCACGCGCACGCGCACGCACACGCACACGCACACGCACACGCACACGCTCACGCACACGCACACGCACACGCACACGCACACGCACACGCACACGCACACGCACACGCACACGCACACGCACACGCACACGCACAC